GTGTGTGTCTTTATGGTTTGGTCATGTGAAGATATCTCTGTAAGATTTATCTTTGTGACTATATATAATCCAAAAAACTTATTAACTATGGGTTTTTGTTAAATTTTGAGTCTTTGAGTGAAGTTTCAATCAGTACACAATTAAGATTAAGCAAATGTCTCTCTGGTTACAATAAACAAGAACAGACAATAATGAAACACATAATACACAAGAAACTAAAGTCTTTGTTGTTTGCTAGAGACAACCAACTAAGGCGTTGTTGTTGAAGAAGATACTGGCTTCTCAAGAATTCCTTCAGTGGCTTTTTTGAATAAGTTATGTACTTGTCTTGAGGTGAAACCGATCTTCTCTAAGTCAGTAAGCTGTTGAACATTCATACATTTAGTTAGTAGATGAAAGAAACTTTAGTTCTCAGGATCAAAGTTGGTGAAGAAGAATGAATGTAATACCGATTTTAGACGGCTTGTTTCTCGGAGTTCAATAATGTACTCAGCCATTTTCTGTCCAATTCCCTGAGTAAATGAAAATGAAGCAGAGCTATGTGAAGTGGAACCAATATTTGACTAAGGAAGCAGAGATTTTGTGTATTAACAAAGTGGTGAAGTTACCTTTAACTCCATTAGCTCCTCTCTGTGTGTTCAAAAATAGATAACGGTGAAGTTAGTTCTTGTGTGATCATAAGGTGCATAAAGAATCTAAGGCAGTTAGATGGTGAAACTGAAGATTAATCTTACCTGTTGGCTGTGTTCAAGAAGTGAATGTACTCTTTTATGAGAGAGGTCTGTGAAAAGAAGAAAGTTGCAAAAGTATCAGATTTCTAGTTTTTGTCAACATGCTTTTTGATAATGATGATTCATACCTTTAAATTAGTGCTCCAAGCATTGAACTTCTGGCAAGTGCCACTCATCTGCATATTCTCAGTGTTTGCATAACGGAAAGGTGTTTTTGGGGTCATTGGCTTGAGAAAAGGAGAGCATCCATTTCCTGAGTTTGGTTTTGCATTTGAGTCTATTGGAGAAAGAGCTTCTCGAAGAGGACTCAGTTCTGTGCACTTCTTCTCGAGCCCCAATTGGATATCTAGAATAAACACAAACCAAAGTAGAGGATAAAGAGAAAATGTCCAAAAACAATCATCAGTAAGTAGCTCAAGTAAACAAACCTCTCAAGCTTGCTTCTGATACCAACAGACTCTCTTCGCTAGATGTATCTTTTTCATCTTCTTTGGTTGGAGAAGCTAAGTGCAGATTCCGTATTGGTTCCTGGATTATTCAAAGAACTCAATTACTTAACTAAACCTTTGAAGTAATCGATCGAAATGTGCAATATGATGTACAATGTTATATGATATCTGATGATTTTCACAATGAAAGCAGAGCAGTACCAATAAATGTGAAGCAGCAGGAGTTTCGCCACCAAATAAGTTCCTTGCGGTTACAAATGCATCCCTGTGTATGAATCTACTGTGAGGGAAGATTATCTAGGATGTGAAATAATTAAGAACTCAACCATTCAAAGGGGGTACCTCTGTCCTGTGCCAGCAAGTTTAGCACTTTCTGCAATGGCTGATCTACGACAGCCGATTTTCTTGACCGTGCTTTGAGATATTGAAGTTTGATGTGTACCAAACAGTGGAGAACGTATTGCCATCATTCTATGCGTGCTCTTCGTCTTGCCTTTTGATTCAAGCCAAGCTTGTAGTTTTGCTTCCATATCTACTTTAACCTTGGGAGTCTCCACCTTGGGATTCAAAGAAATATTGTTTGAGATGTGCCTTGACCTTGCAGCCAAACTAACAGTGCGAAGCGATTCTTGGTATTCTCCAGGATTCTAAAACAACAAAAATAAAGAAATAGATTCATCACTTTAGGCACTTAGACCATTTCCTGATCAATCCCACTAAACATCAATAGTTCATATTCCTACCAGACATGCGACCATGAGAGCCCTACTTGTTCCTCCAAGTGAATCCTGCAGTATTCTAGTCAATTTGCTTTCCCTGTAAGGCACTCTCGGAAGGTTATTATTCAGTGCATAAACCACATTTGACAATGCAAATAATGACTGATTAATCTTGGAACTCTCTTGTAGACGGATTCCTTCATTTCCTGTCCTTCTATTGTCTTCATTACCTGGTTAAGCCATGGAGTTTTTGTTAATATTGCAGATCAGACCGCATAGAGGCTCCTCCATGTATAAACACTTCAAAAATGATAAGAAATAATAACCTGCCAGATCAATCAGATTGATTTTTCCAGTGAGAACCCCTTCTGAGATTACTGAGATCACAAGCACTCCATGGCTTCTACTAGAGACATCATTTAAACCAGTGTGTGCAACTTTTCTCCGCTGAACGCCACATGAGTACGCCTCGATAAACTCGTACATGGAGTTAACTGGGACACTGGAGAGTCCCTTAAGATGAACTTGTCCATCTTTATCATCCCAAATAGCAATCTCGCTAGCCTTAACTTCAAGAAGATCCCAACATCTGTCCATGTAAACTTCGTAATACGAAATCTCTGCTTTACTTCCTGTCTTCTCGCACGTAGACAGAATGGTGGACATGGTCAATGGCATCAGACCTGGTAGCTCATCAGTTCCCTGAGACAACAAATGCAAAAAGAATTGAAACAACACAATTACTCTCCTCTGTGACCAAACAACAACATTTCTCTCACGAATTCTTCAGTTTCAAACAGAAATCAGGCAAAAAAATTTGTGATTTTGATTTTTCACCCTAAATCCAAATTTGTGAAATTTATTAGCTTAAAACTGACCTGCATCGTAAATGTCTTTCCGCTTCCGGTGGCTCCATAAGCGAGCACAGTGGCGTTAAAACCTTGAAAAATCCCAGGAATCAAAGGGTTTACTTCTCTGGCGAATATCTGCTTCACATTATCATCTTCTCTCCCGTAAAACGCATCCAGCTTATAGCTTTCGTTTCGACTGCTCCACATAACAACACCGAATCACCAAATCCATAATCGAATTTCTAGGTAATAAGAACCCAAATTGAAGAATTGAAAAACCGTGAAGAAGCTTACCAGGTATCTGGATCTTTGAGGTAAACTGCAACTTCGCTAACATCTCTGTTATCGCCGCCGATTACCGAAACACAGGATCGTCTGTCGCCATTCTCGTCGGAAATCTCCCGAGGAAGAAAAGGACGAACCCTAAGGACGACCCTGACCTTGGAGATCGAAGAAGAATCATCGAAAACTTTGGTTTTCGCTGGGGTTTTCGGATCCATCACTGTCTCTGTGTGTGTTTTGTTC